TTTAGTGACTTTTCTATTAGGTATCTGAACAACAAAATTAATGTATGAAGTAAACCACAAAATACACTTTTTTATAGCACGATGAATAGGCCTATACTGAATTTTAGAACTTGTTGCAATTTAATTTCAACTAGCTGTTGTACCCGTGCTTTGCAACGGGAAGAGGGCACATATAATAGTTACACATCCGCCAACGCTTTTAGAAACAAAATTAAACTTGTATGGCCTTAATAGAAACGTTTACGTTATGACTTTTAAATCTGGTAAGTAGTGGATACCACCATTTTGGTTTTGATTAATTTTAAATCTTGTGTAGGCTGATATGAGAAAAACTGACCAAATCTTCGAATAAAACTTTCACATACATGATTTACCTTCATCTCCCTTAGTTACAAATCTTTTTATTTATTATTGACATTTTAAATTTTAATTTTGAAGTTGCAAAAATACTAATTATTAAATTTAAATGAACATTTATTTTTTTAATTTCACTCTTCTTCATATTAAATCACAAATCCTGCCATCTTCATTTTCTTCACTCACAATAAATCATTACTAAGTCAGCTGTTATAAACTTTAGAAATATTGTTGTGCCTTATCAATACAGTCTTTTGAAATATTAAAGAAACTATATCTATACAATAAAAAATTTTCAACAAATAATTTAGCATTGAAGACAGCAGACGAAACTAATATGGTTATCAAAGCATTAAAAAAAATTATAGCAAACACAGTATATGTTTCATTTCATCTCTGATTCTACTCTACAAAAATAACAACAAACAACTTAATATACAAACCAGTTCTTTTTAATCAGTTCCATCATCCATTTCCTTTACATTTTAACTCTTACCATTAAGTAAACATAGTAACAGATATTTCATTGATTCTAGAAACAAAAGAACACTGTGTACTGCATAGTTTTATGATATTTTCCTTGGTTTAATCAGTGGTGTGGCAAAACACAAATAGTAAATTTACCAAATAAAGTAAATGTGAATTGAAAGCTATGTTAAGATAAAATAAGAGTAATTTGTATTACCATTTGATAATTAAATACAGTTGCACATATACAACAGATTTTAGCACACAAAAATTACGTCCAATTTAGTGCTGACCGTGGCAAAGGCGGAATTGAATTGACGAATTTTATCCTGATAATTTCTGGATCCAAGCCTCACAGCCTGTTTTCAGATTGGGAGTTTCCAATAATTTCCTGAAAGTATGGCGAATTCCGCAAATGAGGTAAACAAACCTTTCATTTAAGACAACAAAGAGTAAAAATTTAACTGTCTCGGCCAGTCTTTTCTTGCTTAAAACGAAGCCACCACAATGTAAAAATTTAACGTTCATTTGTCCGAGATTGGATGAATCACCACGGCGGTACTGCCACTCTGTATCCGTCAAATTGGGAGGTTGGTGTAAGCGGTCACGTTTGTGTTCCCTCCAGCCACTCACAGTTCTTAGTCTTACTGGTGGCATTTAGTTTTAAATTTAGATAAAATACGAAAGTTAACCAATCAACAGAAAACACTACAAAGGAATTTTGATACATATTGTAAATAACATTCTTTGTTTGAAGTTCATTGTTGGTGATGGTGAGTTAATGTTGTTCAAAGGTTTATTGCGGACATTTTCCATCACGATTGTAAAAAAATAATACACATCGTTTCGGGATCTGGAACCTGATCCCGTCGCCAGGTGAAAAAACTTAATTAACACATTACAACCATTATTATTAGGTTGGGCGTTTGTGTATTGTTAGTTGTAATGTGTTAGTTAAGTTGTTTCTGTCCGCAATAAACCTTTGAACAACGTAAATTACATGATAATATGGTACTGTAACGGGTAACTGCCCTGTGAATAATCACTTTCAAACATTCACTTAATCACACCGAACTGTAACCAAAACTACATGATAATTCAGTAAAATACGATGTAAGGTAGATAAATTAAACTTTTACAAACAATTTGTTGTCAGGTCTTGATAGGAAACTCGTTATATTTATGAACCAGACTTAGTTAACAGATGATTGAATAAAAATATAAAATTCCGGCTTTGCTCTGGAAGTAATAAGTCCTGCAGTCTGTGGTTAAACTTAAAAACTATTTCAAACTACGTCCATATGTTTAGTTGTAAACAAAGGGAATTGAGTTTGATGGTTTGATCTAATGTCAACAGATAGCGCCACCGTTCCCAAACTTTAGCCCTTAACTGTACTTAAGTGATGCCCTTTCTTAATATCCTGAGACGCACATCTACGTGAAAATACCTTTAATTTGACACCTCAAACGTAAAAATCCGCCAAGCCGTTATCGAGTTATGACTGTGAAAAGAAAACTGCTTGCGTATTAATATATAGATAAAACTGAATACTAGACCTATTTTCGCTATTTCGAAATACAGCTTACGTTTCAGAAATACCTGTTCAACATATTCGATGGTTGACATAAACTTATACAGTATTGACTTGTATAGAGCCCAAACTTCAAATTTGGGTTCACCACAGTTCTTAGAAGTCATCCAGTACTTTTTTGAACAAAAAAGCCATAGAAACATCAACCAAAAAGAAAGTTATAAGCTTTAAAATCCCATTTTAATATATCAAACTAACCTATGGAACGGGGAGAAGGACGACGAACAGACATGTTTTAAGATATTAAGGAACCATTGGCACTGATAAACCAGACTACAGTGTATAGTAAGTCCACATGGTATGGTAGAGTCTATGTATGCTGTTAAAATGCCTGCTTTGAGTCCTTCTGCTTCTGGAAGAATGGAAAAAGTCAGCTAACTACTATATCTGACTTTTTACATATATATAATCAGTCATATAGTATATTCTGACTCCGTCTGTTCCTGACGATGGTGTGATACAATCATTGAGGTTCGGTATCCGATCATACTGCCCACCGGAGGTAAATTATGTTATTGTTAACCATATTTCTTCGTGCTTGGATGTTCAGTAAGTTCTGCACAACTGTAAGTGTTCACAGCAGTATATAAAATATCATGTATTCTTACTTTATTTTGGGAACAATTACGGTTGCTTCCATTGTCCATACAACCACACCATACATGAAGTCAACAACATACATGATGTCCTGGTGCTCCCGTAGAAAGGGTTGTTTGGTAAAATTCAGTACCAAAACCTTTTTCCCCGACGTAAAAACTGTTAACTGTGTAACTATGGCACAACAACTATTGTAGGGTGTTGTTTTGATGAATGAAAAATAAAGAGGATGGTTTGGTTTTTGTTCACATTTATTGTTGTCATTTCTGATAGTTTATATTAACTGATCGTCCGTGATATCGAGTTGATTGAATCACGCATATTGACGATTTCAATTGGCACCCTTGCATATACCATTATAGCATATCATCATTTTAATTCATACTCCATTTAAGTTTAAGGTGTTCCATTAATACAAACAAAATAACTAAACTCTTTTGTTATGCTTAAGTTTTAAATATATATGCTATTATATTATATTGAAGACTAGCTTTATTGCCTGCTCTCAGCTCCAGCAAACTTTCAAATTATAAAATAAATTCATCGCCTATGACATATAGCTGTAAACCTTGATGATTATCATCAGGCAATGGAAATAAACTCCCAGTTGAAAGGATTGCTTGTACAAGAGTCTTTAGGAAATATGCAAAATTAAGACACCGCTTTCAACGATTGGTTATTTGTCCCAACGATTTGTTTTAATGATTTATTTCAAACTAGTGATATATCTAATGTTTTAAATTCCCTCATAAGATAAATATTATTTGTTATAACCAAATTTAGATTAGGCCTACACAAAGGAAATCAGTAAAATACTGTATCTATTCGATCAGCGGTAGTTTCCCAATGGCGTGTAAAACTTTCTCCGTATTATTTGATCATCTATATAAATAAAATTACAGTTTTATCTGTACATTGCTTAGAATCATGCAGTTTTTGGTTATTTTTACGTTTCATAGCCTAAGAAAGCCGAAACGAGTCTTATCTCAATTTCTGTCTGCCTGTATGTCTGTTTGTCTGTCCATTCTGTCATTATGTCTGTGACACCAAAATGTCATTTTACGTGGCCTACTCCTAGAAAACTAGAGTACCGATCAAGGTTCAAATCATTTTTCTGTATTCAATGAATTGATGAGAGTGTCTTTGGCTATAAAAATATAGCATCGCTTCTTTGAAAACAAAATAACAAACCATCAAAAACCCAATTTTGTTCGATTTTTTCAAATTTTCTTTCAATGTTTACTATAAAATTTTATGAAATAACGATCATCTGTTTGGGTTAGTTCTCCCTTCTAGCTATTTGATCATTGGTCATAATTCGAATGTTTATCTTTTGTTAGGTCGTATATTGGCTTGATTTTAAACTTATGTTATGATTCTTTGTTTTTTTTTTTACAAATACGTAGTCATTTTGTAACCACCATGGCAACCCACATGGCCGATGTTAAAATTTAAAAACTTTGAGTTGCTTTTATGTCTTACACCCTCCAAACATTTGTCGAAACAACCTTTATTTAGTTTATTTAGACTGTATATGGCAAAGACAGCTGTAGGTCTGTCGGGTTATTCTAAACAGGTTATTCTGTGGTATTTTCAAACAGAGGTTTTCCAGTTTTTTTTTCTTACAGTTCTTCATTTTAACGTCGTTGTGTCATTGAAAACCCCTGAAAGAGCCTCGAATCTTGGCTTTTAAAATACAGTACTGTTAGATTTAGCACAGTAAAAATTTGTTTCTGTAGTAAAACAAGTACTAGTTTACCTAATTCTGAGCCTAATTTTTGAACAACGGTCATCGTAAATTCAACAAAAGGTAAGAATTTTGGTTCAAAACCTGAAGCAGGTACCAATAAATGGTTAATCTTAAATTGTCATAGAAGATTATTAGAAAAGAAATTAGAAAGTGCTGGTGAAAGCAGTCAAAGAACCAAACTATCGTCCAAACATTGTCATTTACCTTTCACATCCGTGATGTATGATAGACACTCGCATCTGAGCAAACGGAACTTTGGTATATAAAAGTTGCTCAGACTTCAATAGCAGCGTCAGGTACATCCATCATGAGGTTCTTGATAGTGGTGAGTACTGTTCTCAAGGTGGTGATAGATCTCTTGTATTTTAAAAGACTGTTAGGCCTATCTCTTTTTAAAGTATACCTATGTTTACATACAAAATTTGGTATATTGGTTACCGATGTTAACCGTACAATGATGTCAATAACTAAGAGAATTTGAAAAAATAAGAAACGGTGCTTCCCAAACTCTTACTCTCTAATGTAGCCGGATGAAAATCGGACGACTTTTCGAAATTGATAACCAATGTATATTTCCTTCTAGTCAACTATTGGAGCACAAGTATAAACCGAGTGGTTTTGGAAGATGTATTTTTTTTTACTTTATCCGTGTATGGTAATAGTAATGTGTATGATGCTAGTCAGTTCGTTATTAATACAAATTTCAAAACTAAAAACTTTGTTTTCGTTATGTTTCGTACATTGAATGAACCTCCCAAAAAACTACCACAGCAAAAATATTCGTACAAACGGCCAAGAAAAGTGTAAGTTGGTTCAGTCATTCAACATCCTCCAGTTAACATAACATCGTATAATATAAGCAAAGTTAGTCTAATACCGTCCTGTATATGAACAAAGTTTTGCTTTTTCTATAAAATTAAACTTTTGTTACTAATCGTATATACAATGAGATTTTTTTGTCACTGAATAAAATGCAAATTCTTAAAGACCCAAAATAAACTTTAAGTGTTTTGCTTTCTATTGTTCACAATCAATCAATCAATTTGTTGATAGATGATTTTCGCGAATGTTTCATTTTTGTGAATAAGTTTTAGAATTTTCCTATTCCCATGACCTTTATGACGAACGAATCAACAGTGTTTAGTCAATTGTAATCTTTGGTTGTAGGCTTGTAATGGCAATCCTCTTTGTATAGGGATTTACATTGCGCGACTAAAAGGTATCTAATACTATGATAAACAACAAGCACAGATGGTTCGGTATCAAAACATGTATCAGATAATGTTTGATAATTTTAAGGTTGTTTATTAAGAATTGATATTCTTAGCAACATTGTACATTCACGTTTATTGAATGGTGTTTCTTGGTGGTTCTGAACATTCACTGACCCAGGCCATGTTTTCAGTGTGCAGTCGCTGTGACGATGGCCGTGGTGGTCTTCGCTGAGATGGAGCCCAGGGGTTACGGTGGATCCGGTGGCGGTGGATACGGTGGTGGATCTGGCGGTGGTGGATATGGTGGTGGATCTGGCGGTGGTGGATATGGTGGTGGATCTGGCGGTGGAAAGGCACAGGGAGGAATGAAATCCGGAGGCCAGAAGACTGGGGGAGGCTATGGAGGTGGCTACGGCGGCGGGGATTCCAATGGAGAAAGTTTCAGCGGCAGCTTCGGTAGCGACAAATCACAGGGAGAGATGAAATATGGAGGCAGCCAAGACAAAAAGTACGGTGGTGGTTTCCAAAAGAGCGGCTCGCAAAAAGGTGGGTATAATGGTGGTTATGGAGGTGAAGAAAAGTCTAAAAACGATGGAGGATATGGTGGAAATCAAGGGTATGACAAGTACAACAAGGGTCAAAAGTCTGGAAACCAGGAAGCTTGTAAAGGAGGCAAACCCAGTTATGAAGGTCATGAAGACAGTGAAAAAGATTATGAAGGAGGTCATGATGAAGGTTATGGTGGAGATTATAAACAAGAAGGATATGGTAAAAGCAACTCTGGTTACAGCCAAGGAGGTAACTCTGGAAACAGCGGAAAAGGTCCCCAAAAAGGACCCAAGTTCGGTGGAATGGGTAAGGCCTACGGCAGTTACGGAAAAAAGAACTAGGATTTTTCCATTCAGAATTTTTACAAAGCACATATTGTTAGTTATGATATTTACTCTTAACACTAATAAACTGTTTAAATTCTTACTAACGTATTTTTGTGAAAAAACCCTTCCATAGTAGTGTATGTTAGGATATGAGTATATTTTACTACTAGTACTTAAAGTGACATATTTCTGGGCAAAACATGTAGTGGTTGATGAGCGGAGTCAACTATCGAGCCTTGAAATGGTTCTTTTGTGATGAGTACCTCGTGAATGATACTTTTTATCACGATGTGAAAATTCACATTAAGCATCTTGGTTTTAAATAAAAAATATAGACTATTATTTCATAGTCTAGTAATTATCTTAATAGTTTCATAGGCTAACATAGGCTTAAAATTTATTTAAATGTCAGATTCGAGTTTTGTCTGTACATCGCACAAAATTATAAATTTTTAGATTATTTTTCCGTTTTTTTACATTTAAGAAGCCGAAACAAGTCTCATCTCTATTTCTGTCTGCCGGTCTGTCTGTTACGGCCCAAGAGGCATTTTACGCGGCCTTCTCCTAAAAAACGAGAGAACCTATCAAGATCCAAATCATTTTAATGTATTCACTGGATTGGCGAGATCGTCTTTAGCCATTAAAATATGGCCTCACTATTTTTTAAATAAAATGACGAATGCTTAAAATCCCGATTTCGTGCGATTTTTGTCAAGTTTTCTCCCAATGTCCATCACATAATCATCTATGAAATAACGAACAGCTGTTCGGATCAAGATTATTTTTTCTAGCCGTCACTGATATGTTTACATTAAATGTTGTTTACAAATACCGCAAACATTTCCAATAACGTTTTGAAAGAAAAATCCAAACCAAGTGAGATTAAAAACGATTTTCCTTACGTAAAGGATTTAATTAATCGAAAGTTCAATAATGAGTATTGTAACCGTAATTTAAATTAGAGATTCTTTGTGTATAAAATTGTTCTGAAGTTTTTATAACCGGGAAAAAGACCTTGAATCAGTGTCGTATAGGGCTGGGAACTTACATTTATAAAATCATCGTCGCCAATAGCTTACTAACAAGGTTTTCGCTCATTGACGGCGTTTCAATGGTGAAATATGTGAAGTGTAAAGTGAAAAATCATAACTGCAGTGGGTGATTGTAACAGAGGTTTGCCGGTTTACGGATGATGCTCAACTCGCTTTTCCAATGTGTCACTTTCGGTTTCTACTCACCGCTATGTGCTGCAATCGCTGGACCATAGAGCCAATAAGCCCATAGACTGTATCTTAGGTACGTAGGCATACCCAATTATTCATGTCAACCTATTCGACGACGATCCTTGATACCGGTACCTTTCTTTACAATACATGGCCTACCTACTTAGGAAATCAAATTAAAAACGTTAAAAAACACAACATTTTGTGATTTTTTTCACATTTCCTTCTGTCGTTAACTACATATACGAAACATAGTTTAGAGAATACGCAATCTTTTAAATAACAAAAAGCTCTTTGGATGAGGTTGTTTTGTTCAAATTGTCACCAAAATATTTACATTAAAAGTTGTTTACAAATAATTCAATTAATGGGAAATAACTTAGATGTTCGATAACTTTTTGTCATAAAATCTAAAACCAAGAGAGATCAATAGCCTCGAGACTGGATTAACGCATTTAATTGGTCGTATGTACTATATTTCTTATCTGTAAACGTTGGTTTTTCTTACTTTTTTTTCTTTAGAACCGGTGTATCAACAAGAATAATTTTTACGTACCAACACATCACTATTTACAAATTATTTATCGTTAGTGTTGCACCTTATTTATTACAGTAGTATTCAATTTAACTGATGTCTTACTGTATAAGTTTTGCTTTTTCTTTATGTCATTATATAGGTTTATATATAATAGTTTTGCCAGCACATCTGAAAATATGCAAACCAACTGCTGTTCTTTATATAATAAGGTTTCAACTGACCCTCGATAAGATCCCCGTGCGTAGAACGGACACACAGCTATTATGTGAATAAAAGAGGTATTTTCTTAGTCAACAGTTTGTTTTTTTTTTAACAAGTTTGTTTGGTGGTGTTTGACGTCAAAATATTGACGAGATCCTGCGAGCGGAAGCGGAAATGCGCGTGAAATTGTGGCAAGAGGTTCTCCAGAGTCTCACCAATGTAATATCCTGTCCTGGAGAGGCTGGAGGATAATCACTATGTCCCTCTTCAGGTGTACAATATTGCCCTAGTTACGAACACATCTGAAAATATTAATCAATTGAATTACTATCAATATTTATTAGGATTCACTTAGACCTCGCTTAATAAACTGAAATAGTAAAAATATTCAAATCATCACGGTTAAGTAATAGGCCTATTGGTCCTCGATTAAGCTTTACACACTTGGTCTAGCAGGTTTAGCTGAATTGAACTTGATCATACAAGAATATGTTCTGGTGATCAATTTCAATTCAGCTAACAATAATTAGGATCGTATATTGTTGAGGTATTATTATTTTGCTTTTAAGTAAATATTATCATCGTAAGATATTTACTACAAATAATTTTCGTGTTTTTAGCGAATTTCCCTATAGGGAAGTAGCTATTACCGTAGGTCTCATGGTAAGACCTAAGCCCGGGACCGATTTACTTTTTCATTTTGATGTCCCCAGAGGCCAAAAACACCATTCGTTCAAATTTATATATATATATATATATATATATATATATATATATATGTGTGTGTCCATCCGCACGATAACTTGAGTAATTTTTGTCCGATTTTGATAAAATTTGGTTTGTAGGTGTAAGGCGGGATAAACTTGAATGAGTTCGCGAACCAGCATGATCGGACTATGGGAACGGGGGTTTATGGGGGGTTTTATGGGGTTAAAATAGGTTTTTCCCATTTTTGACCCTAAAAACACAAAATTTCACAATTTCTTTTTAAACCATTTTGTAGAGCTTAAAAAAACAAATAATTTAGTATATTGAAGCGTTATTATGCGCCTAATTGTTACGGAGAAAATTCAAAAAAAATTGTAATTTTAAAATTCCCATGTTATTCTTATGGAGAATAAGTCAACTGTTGTAGTTTGCTTGTTTATGAACATATTTTGATTGATTTTGGAAAATACTTTTATTTCTTACTAAACTATTATCATTTTATAAAAAAAATCTTTTTTACCCTCCCTGTTGCAGCAAACCTAAGTACTCGTTAAACTAATTCTATTTAAATAGGAAATAAATGTGCTATTTTTATGAAGGCATTTTAGTGTAAATCCAATCAGATTAATGGAAATTCGCTTAGTCTGCAGGTTTGCTGCGGCGGGGGTATCGTGTTTTACGTTGGACTAGACTAGTTTAAACAAAATCAATTAATGTAATCTTTATTCGTGTATAAAGATAGTAACAACACCAGGGTTTGGACCTTTCCCTTTCGGCTTTCATAACGTAAAAATACCAGTTGCGTAGAAAACATTTGAAACAATTCATTTCAATTGTATAAAGATTGCCTTTGGTAAATCAATAAATAAAATATTTACTATTATATTGATGGTTAAATAATGTTAAGTTCAATTGCGCTGACACCGTTTAGTAAAAAGTAACTAATTAAATAAGGAAATCTAAGCACATGGGCAAATACTATCGAAAAATATCCCATATAGCAGAGACCATATAATCTTTTTTACAATTTAAAGTTCATTCTTATCATTTTCAACATTCACACGATGTTATAGCGTATATTCTGTGCTGGAGGCACGTGTCAAAGTGTACTTTTAAATACAACTAAATCAGTTTTGCTGTAATTGAGAACAGAATTTGGGGAGTGAGCTGGTCTAAAGTAGAGCGCGGGACTTTGGAGCCCGAGGACCTAGGTTCAAATCCCGCTAATCACCAATGGATATTGTCTATGTAATAATACCACGACCCTCTAAGACTAGCTCCCGGGCTAGAATTTAGTGTTCTATGAGGATGTGAAGGTAGGAAAAAAGGACAGACTTTAAGTCCATGTCTACAACGATTCTGGTCTGTTTATGGAGAACACGCGACTTTTTTACAAAAACTGTTTTCAAGATTTCAAATCTCAAGGTCTTGAGGATCACACCTTGACTTCAATATCTTGAGTACAGTATTTAGCGATTTGGTGGGGTTACTTTGGTAGCATTTAGAAACAAATCTGTGTGGTTGTTAAAATTGCAGCATTCTGTTGCAGACCATGAGCAGCATGAACAGTCCGAGTACCCTCAGCTTCACCACGACGACCGGTACATCCTCCAGCAGACCTAGCAGTCGCCGCGGGTCGGTGTCTACAGCAGACGACACGTCCGAGTGTATGGAGCCCTACTTCCAGCTCAGCCCGGCCCCGGCCACTACCTCGCAACCCTACAACTTCTCCCGCAGTCCCTCGCAATCTGTCAAGCGCAAGCCTCGCAAGAAGTGTAAGGACCTCAGTCACTTCAACTCCGTGCCTCCTATCGGTCACATGTCCAGGTCCAACTCCAACAGCTTCTCTCCCTCTCTATCGCTCATCTCTCCTACCGACTCGGGCCCCAAGAGTCCCAGGAGTTACCACGCTCCAAAGTCACCTCAGGAACACTCCCCTAGGATAGCCAATCGTTCCCCGTCGGAGCCCAAGTCACCAAGAAAGTCTCCCTTGACGCCGACGTCGAACCACTTCAATTTCCCTCCGAGCCCGTCATATTCTACAAAGAGCCCTGGGACGTCGAAGAGAAAATTCTCGTTCAGCGGTCCTCCCAAAAGCCCGAAGAGTCCTAGCACGGTAGGTTGATTTAAAGATTGTCATTCAAGCCTGATTATACTATAATACAATTAAACGTGGTGAAAATAACCGTTGATAGCTTTTAAGACAAAACTCGCCATTCAATAATCTTCAAATATCTAATTTCTTAAGCTTTCTTCCTTTTCTTTCTTTCTTAGAATGTGTAAGAGCGAGGAGGTGCAATACATTAAACGTGAAAACTAAATAACACTGTTTCAACAGGATGAAGATCATTTAATACAATTTACTAAGGACTCTTTTGAATTTCCAATATAATTTATGTGCTTAAAAACGTTAACTCTGTGTTCTAATCGCATTCTACCCTTGAAATGTCCATTTAGCCACACTCATTTGTAACGGAATAGTTTTCATCTTTCTTTAAAAAAAAACTGAAAAATTCCTAAGATAGATAAAAATAAAATAAATGAAATGATGTTAGCAGGAGTCCGCGGTTGATGGGGAGACAGTGGCCACTTCCCTCTCGAGGCCGAGTTCTCCGCGAGGCCTTGCCTACCTGGCCTCTCGCCGAGGAAGCAGAGAATCCAACATATCAAACGTATCCAACGAGGAGTTGGCACCTCTTAACTTCACCAACACAGCTCGTGGCAGACAACGTCGGACCTCCAACTTCCTCGAACTTCCAGGTTAGGACAATCTTTGACTTTAGGTTCTGAAGTAGACCCCCATTGTATGAGATTGTCATAGCTTGAATTTTGAAAATATGAAAAATGTGAAAATACAGTCATGGAGAATTCCTCTATGGAAACAGTACTGTTTCGCTTGATTTTAGATACTTTGGGATTTTGTGTACCAGTTTAAGCCCCTTAAATAATCTCGTAATCATGAAACTCGGGTTTAAAGGTAGAACACCGTATTTCGATAAAAGCACCATGTCGAACGCTCAATTAAAATATTGTATTACCTGAACAACGGAATGAAATGCTGTTCGCTTCAACTACCTAAGTCTCTAAAATGACAATACTCTTGACTCTATACAGTGGTAATATTACTATTGATAATTAAGTTAGCTCGGAACACTGATTGGTCTGTGACATATCAGGTCGGATATTAGGAGACCCTAGCAATGCTGGTAACTGCTTCAATCACCGAAACAGGAGGGCGGGGTAGAGTAGTTTCGAGTCGTAATAGAGTCGTTTTAAAAGTTATATGTATAGATAGAAAAGATAGGATTAAAAGTTCTGCTGCATATTGAATGAGTTGTTTTAATCGGTTAGCAAAAGTGGCTGTCAGAAGTGCAATTACTTATTCTGCTGTTGAGGTTTAATTCAATAATTATGCAATTCCGAGGCAAAATGGCATTGTTTGAACAAATATTATGATCAAATAATCATAATACCATTTTATTGGCTGTATGTAAATAAGAAACTTTCAATTCCAAAGTTTAACTTATCATCGTAAAAGCTGTTAACAACTAGAATAATCATGCAACTGTAAATGGAGCAATCCGTAGCCTGATACAGTAGTAGAAATCGTATTCTGATATCGATTTAGTTGCCACGACAAAAATACTGAACGTTTTATTAAGTATAGGATAACCCAAGTTTGGATAACCTAATTTGGGTAATGTGACTATTACCTATAACCTATTACCGTAGACATTATTTTATTACCTACTATTATAGAGGTGGTTGCACTTCTTTTTTCAACTTATCCCATACCTATTCCCCCTTAGTATCAACTTCATCTCTTTTAGAGACGGCTTTTGTCAGAACGCAAAATAACGTCGACTCCACCCAACCTATTCACTTTGGCAACAGACGGACCAAGATATTAAAGTCACCGAGAGGTACAAGCTACGTTTCATCACTGTTTTAATTACATTTACCTTCAGTCTCAGCGAGATAACAAAGCGCACTTAATTAATTCCATAATTTTGTCACGAAACTAAACAAACCAGTTAAATTGCCTCTGACCTGCGCGCTTTCAAAGTAATCGCCTCACGCCCCTGTTTAACTATCCCTATATATTTAATTATGCTATTTCAACGTTCGGTCAATGTTTAGTCAAGCATCTCAACGAAATTAGTTTAAAATAATAATGAAAAATGTGTTTCCGTTTAACAGGTTTAATCCTACATAACCACGTTGACGGTTAATTAATGAATGTAGTTTGATTTTTCCTCGACGCCTACATGCTTGTAACATCGTTTACAAAACTGACCTTCTTGCTTTCCAAGCCCACGCCTTTAATGTAACCACCTTAACCTAAATTACAATAAAAATAACATTTTTCAACGACTCAGATTTTTTTAGTTCTTCGTTTATGACGAACCAAACTGAGTGATGGTTTCAAGTTAGAGTTACATCAATTAACAGTCGAAATATAATGTATACAATGAAAAAAAACTATTAACAAAATACATTCCAATTATAATTTGGTAAAATATTTTAATCGAAATTGTTCAATTATTTGACAAGGAGGCGAAGTTAACATGGAATAATATACACCTGAAAACTCATTTTTTTCTATAGAGATTAAATAGCTATTTTAGCCCTACAACGCATGCTATGAGAGTAACCGTTTATACTTTAGTATGACGGAAATACATAACTCATAGATTTCCTTTATATAGTTTGCTAGGAATAAAAATTCGCCATATGCCTTGGCCATCCAACTTGTATACTTCGCGTTCAACCGCATGATAAGTTTGGTTATCCTTTGGTTTCAGGATGATTGACAGAAGTAATTTTTGTAGTTGTGAAAATAAATTTTAAGGATAACGTCCAATATTGCTGTGGTCAGTAAACCTATAATATAAGGGGCAAAGCTGACGTTACTATGACGTAGTAACCTGAACGCGTAAAAGTTTGTTGGCGGGCTGAATTTCATCCCCGTGGATTTAAGAGTTTAACGAAAATAGACAGCGTGTGATAAATGAGATTAGCAATGAAACCCGGAATTTTACCCCCTGTCCATATAACTAGCGTCTAGGCAACTGTAGATGTACGACCCGGATTTTTACCCCCGGATTTTTATCCCCAGATTTTACCCTCAGATTTTTACCCTCGGAATTTTACCCTCGGAATTTTACCCCCCTGAACAGATATAGAAATTAGTAAGAATAATTAATTTTCTTGTTTCAGTTTTGATTGAATAGTAACCATTATATTTTTAAGTAGCCAATTTTAATTAATTTGTAACCTCAACTAAGTAAACAAGTTTCGCTTTTTTAATTTTGAGTATGATAAATCGTTAAAGAAATGTTTGAAACAATAAATTATTATTCATATGGGCTGCTCAGTTTGTTTACATATACATTAACCAACAGTTGGTCCCAAAAACCGAATCCTGAAACTCGAATTTCAAAATTAGAACACAAAACAGGTTTTATTAGTTGAGGTTATAAATAAATTAAGATGGGCTACTTAATAATGTAATGTTTTGAAAGAAGAAAATTTTTGAATTATTCTCACTAATTTCTATATCTGGCCAGGGGGTAAAATTCCGGGAATAAAAATATGGACCGTACATTTTAAGCTGACCTCATGAAGGGGGTAAAACCGGGGATAAAATTCCGGCCCGTACACTCTAGGTTTTATAATTTGATGAGTTCTGATTAAATTCATAAGCGTGAAAATATTCAACCTTTAATTTATTGAACTGATGTTGTGCAACTCAAAAAATCGTGGCTGAAATTTTACCCCCTAGGTTGTGACGTCAGTTTTACTCAGGGGTAAAATTCCAGGGGGATAAAATTCCGTCACCCCTAATGTAATGATTTACTTTTCTGCACCTGTGGTAATATTTACTCTGGTCTTGTCCAGTCCCTGACCACATAAGGCCGAGAGTCTGCAGTCTACCGGAGAAGCCGTACAACCCTCGGTCGGGTGATGAGCTCTACCGCCTACGGACCTTCAGTATCACCAACAAGGGGGTGGTCAACTACGGGGACAGCATCATCAATAGACGGTCCAGGTCTAACACTAGCGTCAACTCCACCGCCAGCAGGTAGGCCTACCGTCACTTACCATTACTTAACTCATGGCTACCTACTCATCATATACCTCCGGACCTTCAGTATCACCAACAAGGGGGTGGTCAACTACGGGGACAGCATCATCAATAGACGGTCCAGGTCTAACACTAGCGTCAACTCCACCGCCAGCAGGTAGGCCTACCGTCACTTACCATTACTTAGATCATGGCTACCTACTTATCATATACCTCCGGACCTTCAGTATCACCAACAAGGGGGTGGTCAACTACGGGGACAGCATCATCAATAGACGGTCCAGGTCTAACACTAGCGTCAACTCCACCGCCAGCAGGTAGGCCTACCGTCACTTACCATTACTTAGATCATGGCTACCTACTTATCATATATCAATTATCAATTATCAATTATCAATTATCAATTATTTAAGATGGGGACGCCACTATGTGCGTATTTTAACCCAAATATGAGTGAAGGATGAGTGTAGGATGAGTGGCGCGATCTTGTAGTCTTGTTAGTGACTAAGGCCGACATGTTCCTTAGACACAGCTGTTAATTAATAGCCCATACAGCTAATGGCAACTAAGGGACCTACAGTTTATAGTGGAATCCGAACCACATTTTTCCTTGTAATTTACGAATTGGTCTAATTATCAGGATAGTACTGCGGATAGTCGTAGTACTCACTAGTGCGGACGTTAATCCACACCAGTGAGCATCGCATCCACAGTGCATCCCTATAAATATCCACAATTCGTGACCTCCTAGTAGCTGGATTACAGGACGACGCCACCCGTCCCAGTCCTCATACCTCCGGACCTTCAGTATCACCAACAAGGGGGTGGTCAACTACGGGGACAGCATCATCAATAGACGGTCCAGGTCTAACACTAGCGTCAACTCCACCGCCAGCAGGTAGGCCTACCGTCACTTACCATTACTTAACTCATGGCTACCTACTTATCATATACCTCCGGACCTTCAGTATCACCAACAAGGGGGTGGTCAACTACGGGGACAGCATCATCAATAGACGGTCCAGGTCTAACACTAGCGTCAACTCCACCGCCAGCAGGTAGGCCTACCGTCACTTACCATTACTTAACTCATGGCTACCTACTTATCATATACCTCCGGACCTTCAGTATCACCAACAAGGGGGTGGTCAACTACGGGGACAGCATCATCAATAGACGGTCCAGGTCTAACACTAGCGTCAACTCCACCGCCAGCAGGTAGGCCTACCATCACTTACCATTACTTAACTCATGGCTACCTACTTATCATATATTCATCAACGAACAGCTGTTCTGCAACTATTTGTGTTCGTTGTACATCTGACTTAAACGATCGAATTTTAACATATGTATGATTCAACTATGAACTACAATCGCTAACTACTCCGAATACATTCGAAAAATAACTAAGAGCTCCGTATGTCCTCTCTTTGCTGATTCTTTTTACCTTGGGGTAAAAATAAACTACTACAACGCCTTACAACAAAAAAGTCCTTAAATAACCGATTTCATAGCAGTATTACAAAAATTGGTACAATAATATGAATTCTGAACACAATAATGATTTTTATACGCACAGCTTTGTGATTTCTTATGCAAAACACTGCTTGAACCTGAACGCTTGAACGCTGTGTGCATGTCCCAATTAACATACAAAGGGAGGTTTAACGACACTTTCCCTACAAACTGTCCTGGGGTCACGTGAGGTCGCGTGATTATTTTATCACTCTTATCTAAGACATTCTGACTTCTCATCCTCAGGTCAGTCCTCTAGATGCGTCCAAATATATCTAAATATATAACTTTAAGATTTGATAAAATTTAAGACATAGTATTTTATTTTCATTTTTAATAAAAAGGTTTATGCCTACTATTTAATTATCAAATAATAAAATTTTACTGATTGTTTGCTATTTGACTACTTTTGTTTTATTAAGTTGCTAATTTTTATTGTGATCATCTTAGCTATACAGGGTGTCTCGTAACTCTCTGGACATATGTATATAGCGTTATTCCTTAGGTCAAGACAAGCACATTTCACCTTAGGAACATGGTTCTGTGGTGCCTAGTTTTCCGTCTGTCTGTATTTATGTGTTTTTTTACAAGAAAACTAATAACTCTTAAACGGGTTGAGTTACAGCGTTGATATTTTGCAAAAGTTTTAATCTTATTAAGACCTATTGTCGTTAGAAATTATACTAAAAAATCATTAACCGTTTCAAAATGGTGAACATTTAAAATATTTGATGCCAAATTTCACGAAAACCATTAACTTTACAAAAAGTTTTTAAAATACAAAAAAGGTAGTAAATTTTATTTAGTTTTCAATGATACCTCACTTGTTAAGAATGGATAAATAATAACAGAGATACGAGTTATTTTCGTATTGTATGACCACTTTCCTCCATTTAAACAATGCTAATACTCTTTTTACATTGTTTAAATGGAGAAAAGTGGTCATACATTACACAAATAACACGTTTATCCATTCTAAACAAATAAGGTATCATTGAAAACTAAATAAAATTTACTTACTTTTTTGTGTCCTGAAAATATTTTGTAAAGTTAACAGTTTTCGTGAAATTTGGCAACAAATATTTTAAATGTCCACCATTTTGAAACGGTTAATGATTTTTTAGTATAATTTCTAACCATAATGGGTCTAAATAAGATTAACAGTTTTGCAAAATATCAACGCTGTAATTCAAACCGTTTAGGAGTTACAGACAGACGGAAAACTAGGCACCACAGACCCATGTGGTGAAATGTGCTTGTCTTGACCTAAAGAATAACGCTATATACATATGTCCAGAGAGTTACGGGACACCCTGTATAATATTCAAGGACTTGGTAATGTTGCATATTTGGTCGGTTTCAACTGTAATTAGTAAGGTAAAGTATTTTACGCCACACTTCACTGTTTTAAACTGATATATTTGTTAAATAACGTGTTTCTGAGATACCGAAAAGAAATACAAAAGTAGATTAGTATTCAAAATTATAAACAATGCTAATCGATGGTGTGGAAATACAAAATTCAAACTCATAAAGTATCTATACAAATCTCAATACAAAACTAATTAATTTATGGACACTCTTACAAATTTAAAGCGTATAAATCAAGCTGTTACTGCGTTTTCTTTCATCCATTCACACTGTACAGTGTACAGCAGCTCTCTTTCAACCAAGTTAATTTCGCCTAAAGGTTACAGCTGCAGATCCTCCAATCAAGGGCAATAAATAACGCCAGTGAAGGAAAGACCAATTCCTCCCCCTCCTCTCACGCTATCCTTGCTAATTAATCTTTCAATTTCACCAACACCTTGGCAAGACAGCTTCCCCACTGTGTACTTAAGGGCCTTTTCAGTTTTAAATAATTCAAACAAATGCCATTACCAGAAAATTTATCGTTTTATGATAATACGCATTCTATTTAAATGTTTGTCTGATTATTCTTTTCTTATTCGTTACTACTGTGGATTGTTAATTAGGAATATTGGTATTGCATTAAAACTCTATTTTTCTTTACTGTTTGTGCTTAGAGAAGCAAAATAAATTTTTCCTACAGTTACCTAACAATGTTCATGTTCTCTCACTGATTTGAGAAAGTAAAGTGGCCAATTCGCTCATCAGTGAGACAATGTTAACATTGTATCACTCTAATTACTTTGTCTCACTCCAGATTTGCAACGTGAAGGCACGAGCGCGTAACATGCAGGCAACGTAGTATGCGCGTGAAATACGTTGGCAGCACTGGCTGTAAATCAGCTGGTCAGCTGTTGTATTGTTGTATTTGTCACTTCACATTAAATGTTATATTAAAAGTTCACTTCTGTGTAAAAATAGGTTATGTTTCTTCACCAATTTATATGTTTTATGGTAACTGTAGGAAAAGTATAATGTGCAACTCGAGTTCAAAGTACAATTGCCTCACTCGAGAAACCATTCCTCACTCGCCTACGGCTCTTGAGTAAGGATTTCTCTCGAGTGAGTCAATTGCTCACTTTTCTCACTAGTTGCACACATAACTAATGTACCGTATAATGAATAATTTGCAAATATGTGCCGGGGAAACTAATGGCATTAACTATGGGCATAACCTAAGCTGTATCACAGGTCAATGGCTGTATGTTTCCGTGGCCCTTCGTAAATATAGCTGATATATGTACGTAGTTTTCTTTTGTGTATTAACATTTTAAAGCTAAAAGCTGACATATAAGTAGTACAATTTATGTATTAACATTCGAGTTGTAACAACCTAAACGTTTTTTCCATTACACTGTCTCAAAAACAGCTGTCTTACGGATCGTTTTGAGGCCCTAAAGATAGCTATTTGCGCCGTAAAATTTTACGGACCCGAATCATATGGTTTTGTCAAAGCTTATCTCAAAAACAAATCAGCTGTTTTATTTTTATTTTGTATTTTCTGCTATAATATATGACAATCTAATGAAAAATATTGTTCGTAGCTCGTCCTAAAATGCTTTTTTGTGATTGTGTGTATATGCTGCGTCTGGTAACGTGATAATACATTATTAAATTGTGGATTTTTAGACAGGCTAAATTTGCATGATATTATGTACAGTACATTGATAATTTATTAAAAAAAGGATTAATTGAAAATAAACACTTATTGTTTTAACTGTTGTATTATAACCTGCACATTTTACCAAATTAAATCTCTTAATTCCAGGATGAGCGTACATCTTACACCTGCAGCAGGCTGATGAGCTATTATGTTGTAGGCACAGCAACCACAGTGGTATCAGCAACAACAGTCCCTGGGAAGGTAGTTGTTGTGGTAGCAGCTACAACAACGTGAGCACAGAGACAAGTGGAGAAGAGGTTGCCAAGTACAGGGTCGTGTTGTTGGGGGACTCCGGTGTGGGGAAGACTGCCCTTGTCTCTCAGTTCATGACCTCAGAATACATGAACACTTATGACGCCTCTTTAGGTACCTAGGAGATTCTAAATATGTATAAATTACAGTGTAAGTTAGGCGAACCAGACCTCACTTGACCAAACCAAAAATGAAGAAATTGGGAGGCAACTGAAAAGAATAACCGTTAACCTCATTTTTTGTATGAGATGGCCACAATTTTTCGTGGTAAATTTACACCAATAAGCTTTATTTTCATACTCACTCCTTGGGAGTATTTAAACTCAAATTTGAATAAGAGATGAGTGTAGGAAGGTAGTGAAATAACTTGTTCAGCTTGTTACTACCAAGATAACTTGTTTAAGTTCACTTCATTAAATTAGCGACACACTTTGTATATATATATATATTATCTATTATTACGAAAATGAACGCAGTAAATAATAAGAGTGTGATATCTGTTTTTACTGACTGAGACAAGCTAGAACTTTAGACAACCATTTCAATAATCAAGAACAGCTGGGCTGTGTTTGAAAACATCAAAAAGATATTTTTTCTCAGGATTGAACCAGAGACTTTTTGATATCCTACTACTTATTGGCCAACTCCTAAACCACTCGACTGCTAGATATCCTGCTACTTCTTGGCCAACTCCTAAACCATTCCTGCTAGATATCCTACAACTTCTTGGCCAACTCCTAAACCACTCCTGCTAGATATTCTACAAGTTGTGAGACGGGGACGGACCAAGACCATTGGGAGGTCACTAACCTTGCTCTTGGGTTGTTTTATAGAATAAATGTTCGACAACCTAACCCAGACCCAACTTTATATAGGCTAAAATATAATACAGTTTAAATGTTTTATTAATTATTTTCAGACGACGAGTTTGGGGAGAAAACAGTATCCGTTTTGCTGGATGGGGAAGAATCTGAAATGGTCTTCATTGATCATCCAAGTGTCGAAATGTCGGTAAGTTCATCCAACAAAATATCTATTCATATTTTTCTTTCTTAAGCTTCGATAGAAACTACTATGATTTATTAACAGAAAGGGATATATTTATTTATTGACTACCCTAAATCGAAAATTTTCTTAAAGAAGGAAATGAACTAACACTATTCAACTGAACAAAACATTTTTTTCTTTTTTGTTTAGTTTAGAGAATAATTTATTAATATCATATGTAATACAAATAAAAGGTATCAGCAAACTGACACATACTTTTCTCCAATAAGCTTGACATTAAAATTGAACATCCTACTACTTTTCTGAGAAAATCATTATTATGGGTAAACAGAGGGGGAGTTAGAGGGAGGGTCTATGGAGTTTTATGGGGAAAATTGCAAAAATTGCAACTATACTTTTGAATCCTCAAAAAATGTGCAGTGATAATTGTGATTACAACTGAGTTCAATGTAACTTAAGCCTATGGGTTTGAGTTTATTTTTTACTTACTAGAGTTAAATATTTATGTGTAGTTTATGGCTATAAGATAGGTTAAAAGTCATACATACTCTTAGCGTTGTAAAATTATGGCCCAGATACCTCAACTTACCTTGCGTATTTTTTGTGATGCTTTATATTTAGATGTTTGATTTTGAAGTCACGAAGTGATGCTAGCTGCTAGTGGGCTATTATTACTAAATTTAATATATTTCTATCTACTTTTATATAACCTTAGTAAAATTTGTATAAAGTGGTTCAACTCCTAAAATCCCACATAGCCGGATAGTCCAATGTTTGCACCTGACCCAGTTATAATCAGCCACTCGGAGAGAAGACGAGAGCAACTCCGTGAGGCTGTAAGCCGCAATGACTGGGATAAGCCGGCTTATATTTATCACCAAAAGTGTGCGAAGCTGTGAAATGGCAGTGGTAAATTCCCACCATTGTCTCAGACTGAACCTTTAGCTCCGCAGTAAACTTGCTCCTTGGCATTTACCTCAAGGGTCGTTTGTTCGATGGGATAACTATTAAGGTATTACCCCAGGTAGAGAAAACATTGTAAAAATGTAGTGCCCATATTTATTTACACTTTTAAAATCTTAAGATAATCCATCCATATACGAGGGTTGTTTTTTTTTTTTTGAACCTCCGATAGGCTATGAACAAAAGACAAGTTCATATAAAACATTAAATTATTTACCAAAATTTTGGTCCATTTATGGTTACTTTTTGACATAATCACCAAAGAGATTGAGACATTTGCTATATCTGTGCACCAGCTTTTTAATACCCTCTTCAAGAAAAGTGGCCGTCAGTACATTCAAAAAACAAAAAAATTAAAAAAAACAAAAAATGTCAAAAAAATACAAAAATCAAGAAAAAATAAAAAAGGGCTTTAAAATGTCTAGAAATTCAGTAAACAAAGCAATAATGGTGAATCTGTGGTTTATTTAACCATCCTGTCAAACTGTTGAACCAAGTCATCTGAAACGACAGTAATGAGCTGGTTCAACAAGTTGGCAGAGTGGTTAAATAAACCACAGATTCACCATTATTGATTTGTTTACTGAATTTCTAGACATTTTAAAGTCCTTTTTTATTTTTTTCTTGATTTTTTAATTTTTTTGACATTTTTTTGTTTTTTGAATTTTTTTGTTTTTTGGAATGTATTAGCGGCCACTTTTCTTGAAGAGGGTATTAAAAAGCTGGTGCACAGATATAGCAAATGTCTCAATCTCTTTGGTGATTATGTCAAAAAGTAACCATAAATGGACCAAACTTTTGGTAATAAATTTAATGTTTTATATGAACTTGTCTTTTGTTCATAGCCTATCGGAGGTTGAAAAAAAAAACAACCCTCGTATTTCTATTTACTTTCAAAATAAGTTTTTTAAAAGTTAATTCATAATTTATCACAGCATGAATTTTAATTGCCTGTGAAAAATGTTATTATTCCATGTTCTGAGAAAATGAGTAAAGCAATCAAAAGCTAAAGCTAGTGACAAATATAGTCATGACACGCTTGAAATATTCAATGAGTATACCTGTTGCTTGAATTAAAGCATTATGTGCCTTTGGCGTAGATATTTAATTCAAAATATGGAGAAAAGCCAATCTGAAAAAATCTTATTCCAAAAAAATGTGAGAGAACCTTTCAGAAAACATTTGCTTCCATTTTACAAGAGGGTTCTTCTTATTAACTTATTTTTTTTTAAGTTGAAAAGATGGCTCAACATTTAGTTCAGTATAAAATTTTATGTAGCTGGATGAATTTAAAAATCTAGAGTAAAATAATACTGATCAATATAAACAATTGTCAACAGATACCTTTTCATTTAACTTAATGTTCTCGAAATGAAGAATTCAAGAGCAGGCTAAATTTTAGAAAACAAACCGACTAGATTTTAGAATCTATTTACGCAACTATTAATAACCTGTTTTGGTCCATTCTTAGTGAATACTGACCACTCATAGTGTATGGATACTAATACATACTTTCCTATAAACTGGATGATTGACCAGCCACAGTTGGCAATGATGGAATGAAGGTAGCCAAAAGCAGTGGTTATTGACTCGCAATGAATGAGTGAAGCCTGGTACATGAATGGGTTGCTAGGAAACCACCTCAACAAGCTCAGGGTTGGTCTATCTGTAAAGCAACTCATCTCTTGCAACAGCAACTGTGCAGAATCGTTGTCACAGACAACATTTTGAAGTGTCTTCAATTGAAAAACATTTATCTATTTCATTTAGTTTCAATGTAAATTTTGTATCTGGCACATGAGAAATATTCGGAGATCGAACTATCATGTTTACATTAATAAAACAAAAGTATTCATATTTTTATTTGGTTGGAAAAACGGTCCAAAATGTTTCCGATAGGATAAGTAGTATATTTTTGAAAAATCCAAAGTGCAAAATATTAAATTTTGTATAGTAAATAGATTACCAAAGAAAACTTGATACTGGTAAACTACAAAACAACTGATTTTAGTTTAAAAAATAGATCTGCTAATCTGGTCTAATAGATAGACGATAGTGACATAAAAATGTTCAATACTTTGCTGTAGTTTTATAGAGATTATAGATTATATTTAGAGCTAGTGTAATAAATTTAAAAAAAACAAACATGGTGATACAATGGTGAAATTAATAATTTGAGTCTCTTGTCATCCAAGCATCTAACGTATTCATTCAAGTATCATTCATCAAGAAACTTTTGCAGCTTCCTTGTTTCAAATTATCTCACAACTTTACTGTTGTTAAGCTCCTAACAAGAACTCGATACGCTTGTTTTAGCCATTTGTGTTTCATCTGTTTAATTAACTGTGTAACTCAGTCGTAATCAAGTGTAACTTTTTAAGCGTTAAAAATTATAAAAGGTGATATTCTGGAATCATAGATTTACGTTAGACCAAATGGTAAATTTATTTAAATTATACTTGGGTACAATATGTAGAGGGTGGGCGAAAAGCCCCTATACCCACTGCTGCAAAATTTCACCAGCCCCACACTGTAGTATAGGGAGTCTGGAGAGCGACAAGATGGTGGATACAAAGTGTGTTCACTATTGAGGAGCATCTGGTGGCTTGTGTTGGGGATCATGAACTTCCAAGAAGTAGAAAAACTATGGATGAACTGATGGAAAGCATTGTTGTGCATTTTGTAAAACCGTCACCATAAATAAAAAACTTTGTTGATAAGTCATAGGTCATGATGCCGGCAAACAAAGCTTTTGGAACGGGAAGTGTTCTTATGCTCCTTGTAGTGAGAGGCCAAGCACTCGTGTTGATGTTGAGGAGTCAATTCAGCGATCGCCAATGAAATCAAAACGTGTTAACGTTCAGCAGAGTTAGACGTTCCACTGTCGACTATGAGAGTTTGTATTCTAAAAGATTTGTTGGAAAGGATGAATCAACGGTAATGACGCCGATCAAACTGTGCCTTGACAATGGTGGGATGCACACAGATGTTTTGGATCCCTAATAATGTTAACATTGTAAAATGAAAAAAAAGTTGAAATATTAATGTACTAGGGTACTGTACTTAACACTTGATTTATTTATTTACTCCCCCAGTGATAGGGAGTTTTCACCCACCCTGTACATCTCACAAGCGGCAATGATTGTCGTGCCTTAGTGCAATTTTTTAAGAGGTAAACAGTTTTGACTAACACTGGTTTGCTTATTGTCATACTACAAATAAATTCCTTTTCATTCCATGAGATATCAAGCCAAGGATTAAGAGAAACAGTTTTCAGTTTTAACTGAATTAATTGTGAAAATCACAACATATACAAGAACAACAAAAAATAAATATAAATAAACTAGAGGACCCATGCTGCTCAGAACCGTTGAAATAAACATCATATAATGATAAAACACTTTATGATTTCGATGAATTGTAGGTTAGTTGATTGATTTAGTTTTAAGCCTAGTGACACCATTCAATGTATGTGACTGTATGCCATATGAATAAAGATATTTTTTTCATTCGTTTAATTTCATTTCAAGGTATGGAATTTGATCCCTAGTGGGCAAAATATTACCGCACAGTAGTAACATACCAATGGGTAAAGAGTGAATTTTAAAGAGAATATTTTGAAGGTAGCCTAATAGGGACATCATAGAACAGGAGGGAGAAAATGTGCATATCAAATCCATTAAATTAGTTTGTAGGTTTAGATTATTTACAGTATTTCCAATACGTATACCAATATTAACGAGCTTAAAATTCAAAATTAAATTTTTATTGAAAAAATAACTAGTATATAATTTGATTTTGTTTCAACACAAAAATTACCAGACCACAGCAATAACTATTAGAATCCGGATTCCTGAGATTCATTTTTCAACCAAAAATAGTTGTACAGAGCCAGCAATATTTATAATAAAGATTCTTTCAACAGGTGGAGAACTCTCTGTCAACGTATGAGCCACACGCTTGCGTTGTTGTCTACTCCATCGTGAACCGAGCCTCCTTCAAAGTTTCCGAGGATATCCTCAACTACTTGTGGAGGGAAAGTTATACCAAAGACAAGAGTGTCATCGTAGTGGGCAACAAAGCTGACCTGGCGAGGTCAAGGGTCATAACTGCCAACGGTAAGTGGAGGGCGTAAACAATGTGTTGATGCAATTACTTAAGATGAAATCTTTATAAAATCCAATGTATGTTTGTTTGTCGTTTGTTTGTCCTTTGCTTTACCAAACCGGCCATCTGATCGTGATTAAACTTTGGAAGTGGTTCTATACACTCCCGGAAAGGTTTCTGTCCCATTCTCGCTCTAGAACTCGCTCTTGTAGCTCTGCCCCAGTGGCTCTGGAATTTCCCGTGTTTACCTTATGTGAATTCATATTAAAATACCTCCCCCCCAGCAAACCAGCAGACTAAGTGAATTTCCATTTACCCGGCTTGATTTGATTTCTACCAAAATATTTCCTGAAAATTGTCAGATTTATTTCCTATATTTAACAAACATTAATTTTAGTAATTTCTTAGGTTTGCTGCTACGGGGAAGATATTGAGGAGTGTTCTCACTATCTTGTACTACATCGCTCATGCTGTAGGAAGACCCTGTGCGCTGTACAAAAATGCTATGTGGCCATCGCCGTTTGGGCTCTTCCTTGCTCGGTATGAGTACATTTCCGCCCCACCATACCAGAGCTAAAAGTGCACGGATGTTCCATAAGCTTGTGTCCTCCGTATCTTACTTCTCTGTGACACAAAATTGAACACCAGGAACCGTCAATATGCAGCAACTGTTTTACAATGGTAGTCATATTTCGGTATAAAGTTAACATTAAATATACCAAGGTCATAATTGATTCCATACATGATATTCATCTTTTTATACAGAGGGCAAAGCTCTAGCGGCATCACGAGACTGCAAATTCATAGAGACCTCGAGTGGTATCCAGCACAATGTGGACGAGCTGCTGGTCGGTGTCCTGAAGCAGATCCGACTGAGGGAGACTAGGGAAAAGAAGCGCGCGAAACGTGGCGTCAAGCAACTCCATGGCTCTAAGACGTCACTGTCGCTCAATATTGCTCGCGAGATCCTCCACAAGATGTGTCTCACTGACAACAAGTCCAAGTCCTGTGAGAACCTACATGTTTTGTGAGCAGAGGTCAGTTGGGTTATCTTTAGGTTATCTTTATATTGACTGAACATATTCATCTTTTATCTGCTCTACAAATAGACAGACGTTTGAAGAAGACATAGAATCTAAAGTATTGAAAATTATGTTACAGTATAGTCTCAACTTTTTGAGATATTCTAAATCTGACCTTTCCTGGAAGACAATCTAGTACCGTAAAGCCATCACTTAAGATTTCAAGTGTTTTAACCAAGTAGCTTTTATGTCCTATTTTATTCTAGTAATTCAATTCTCTTCTGTAGGACAGTCCGAGAAAGCCTCGTAGAGTTTATCGCATCGACCGTCAGCGTCAGACAGTCGCTCGGACCAACAACTACATTCTAAAACCACTCAACTCTTCCTTCCAATGCTTCTACTTCTTCTGTGAGGCAAGTGGTGCAGTGGCTGAGACTCAAGTTTAGGTTCTTTGAAAGATAAACACAAAGTTCTAGAGCAATCAGTGCCAATCAGCTCAAAGTAAGAACAACTCTGATCGGAGTAAGCAGAGGATAGGGTATGTTGGAATCATAAGTGTGTGTGACTATTTAGTATGAAACTGATGCTGTTGTTGAAGAACTATAATTGAAATTCTCTCAGAGAACATCATATTGTGCTCCTATAGCACAAAGTTTGTATATCGCTCAAATGACATGCCGCATTGTCAATACTTGTGTGAAACTAAGAATCTTCTTACAAACTGTGAGATTTTGTGATCTGATTCTATATTGTTTGATTAAAATCTTTTGTCTCTGTTCAATCTTTTTGCAGCGCTGTCTTTAGTAAAAGTGAGGCTTTTTTCTGGTTCAAAATTAAGGCAAAAGAAGGAGCAAAAGTGGCTAATTCTGGCACATGTTTTATAAACTTTGCAAAGCTGAGCTTGGAACACAATTACAGCCCAAATACTCCCTTCTTTTTTATGAACTACAATTTCATCATGCATAATCGGCTCAGTGTAGTAAAAAGGTATTTTTATTGAATGTTTTTGAGACCATTGTTCAGAAATAACTATACAAAGTGTGGTCTATGAACAATTTAAAATTTTTGAACATGTTAACCACAACCAACATTTTTTTCTGTATTGAAATATTTTGAGGATTTTTTTGGGCAGCATCATTTTGTGCTCATACACCCACTTGTACTTTTCAATTTATGATAAACATTTTAAAAATATTCTGCTCTGTGATACTTTTGCACTCCGCAAAAATAAAACCAATCTATAAAAACACTAAAGTCTATTGTGTAACATTAGTTTTCGTTATCTTTTTTGATCAATTTAAAATGTTCCTCTGTTAAAACATTATTGCAGCTTTAAAATTAAAAATTTCAATGGTTGTCAGTGTCACCCTGTGCAGCACTTAATTCTATTCAAAAGACAGCGCTGTCTACTGGTTGAGGGTAAATATGCAAACTTTGCTTTGTTTAAAAATCCCATCACATTAAGAATACACATTTCATCATATTTTTTTTATTTTTTATTTTATTTAAATTCAATGGAAATGGAGGTGATAATTTGTTCATATAATCCAACAGGAATGATGAAAGACTTAATTTCTAGGGTTGAATTTACCCACTTAAAATTATAATTTTATGAAAAAAGATTATTGTATTATTAGATTTAACAGTGTTTTGATTACTTCTTCATACTACTACTGCTGATGTAATGGGATTATAAAAAAAACTATTTACTATTCCTAAGAAGTTAAATTGTATAATTGTATGGTAATTTACTGTAGATTTTTTACTTAGTTTGACCTTTAGACTAACCAATACAAGTAGACTTCTCATCCCATTGTAAATTTTGAAGCTTGTTTTTCGTGTCTAGTTCATGTCCGGTGACACTGATTGCTACTGTCAACAAAATTTCATTTTTATTATTTTTGGGTTAATTTCATTATTTTTGTGCCTTAGTGTTTGGTTATAAAACTAGGGGACGAGTTATTGTGTTTGATTGGATCGTTTTATTTGGCTGAACGAGATTTTAAATGACTGAAATAACAAGAAAAAATTTTACACAAAAGACTACAGTGCACAAAGCAGAACAAACTATAAAATTGGCTTCAGCTGTTCCATATGGATGAGAAATTTACCAAGGGGTACCTATGTTTTATCTTTATGGTTTAACATCAGAAATTATGCTTGTTTCCGCCCTCTTTACAAACTCTGATGCTTGTGATGGTTTTTAAGGTGAAAGTAAATGAGTTAATCTTTGTTATAAACAGATGCCATAAAAACAACATTTTGTCATCTTAACTTGATATAGTCTGGGAATTTGATCCTTAAGTGATTTCAGAGGACTTGTCCGAAACATAATGTTATTATTGTTTAAACTTATTGGTAACACAGTTCATTACTTATCCTATGACTGTTAAGAGTGCAACTGCACTATACAGTCGCGGGAGTCGTATCAGTCACCGCATAGGAATTGGACTTTAAATTACATCAATTCATCTTCGTCAACCTTGAATATCATACTGAATGTGTCTATTGTAACGATACTTTAGACTAGACCACCAACAAATCAATTACTAAATTAGTATTATTCAAGGAATTAAATTGTCCCATCCTAAGTTATATAACCACAGAGAAGAAGTGTTGGATCACACTTTATATAGTTTACTATCTTGGTTGGTAGCAAAAGCACAAGTTGTTATTTCTTGTCAAGATGATAGATTGTTCCTTATCCTGTCCTTTTCTCTCTTCACGACAACCAGCATTTAGGCCGAGTACATACCAAAAGCAACCGGTGATAGCAACGCAACGGCAACTTGAGTTGCATATGAATAACACACGTAGTTTAATGGGTCTGTGTATACCAAAGCGACTATGATGCGACAGTGATTCAACGGTCACTTGACTGAGCAACGCAGGCAACGCCAGTCACGACATGCTGTAGACTCGGTTGACGCCAGTTGCTCAGTTGCTCTTGTGAAGTGCAGAAATTAACAACAAATAAATACATTTCATTGAACTTACCTTAATGTGATTCGCCTACATCAATTGGGGTTCTGTAGTTAGTCACGTTTTTCAGCAGTATAGGGGTCACTAAATCCAGCAACATATCAAAGGTAGGTTTGCTCATCCTGTAATAGTTGAAAAACTTTTCTGGATAGTCTTTCAAACCTTGTAAGGCATGCCACTGGCTTCTGTGTACATTGATGCCATTATATGGATGCACACTATAAAGTTTTTTTCTTTTCTCTAATCACATATAGAAGAACTGCCTCCTCCTCAGATGAATACATCGCTACTAGTGACTGGGCAACTTGTCAACTTTGGTTTAATTTGCATGTACACGCGGTGTAAACCTACAAGAAACTCCAGTTGACTGAGTTGAGATGCTGTTGAATTGCTATCACCGGTTGCTTTTGGTATGTGTCCGGCCTTAAAGAAATCAGCACTGCCCAGAACACACTAAATAAACTAATTTACTGCCAAAACAATATACTCACAAACTGTCTTCTGATCTCTTCTTCTCTGTAAGTTTGTAAGGAGTTACTTGGAACCCTTTTTGATGTATACAGTGTAAAAAATTGTTTAGTTTTTTATTGTATAAAAATAAGTAATCAATTCTTATGTGTATTTTATAATGAGAAGTCAGTGGTTTTATACATACATGCTGCCCCTCTAAACAGTAAGTTTGCCACCACCATTGTATCATTTTATTACTGTCTACTATGAAAAGACTAATTGTCTCAAAGAGTTGAAAGATTGCTAGAATAGTAGTTAAAAATTATACATAAAGTTGGTCTCAGATTTGACTTACCCTCTGCTTGGCTGCGACATTACCTCGTTGAAGACTTTAATTTACAGACAGCCCACATAATTTTTTTGGGTAAAACCTTCAGATTCAATCTAATCTTTCATATTCTATATCTAAGGTCATACAACCCTAATTTACTCTTAAAAATACCAGGACTCAGGTACTAACCTTCTAATGTTATGGGTTTATAAAAAAAAACCAATGATTCCTCTAAAGTTAGATTGTTTAGCCATCAAAATATGTGCTTAGCTAAGAGTCTGGTGTGGTACTGATCAAAATGTATCTATTTCGAATAGGAAAATCAATATATTTGGCTGTAGAGGCAAATATTTTACAGAATATGTGATAGAATGATGTTAATTGTTGTAAATGTATTCTAAGCTTCAGTCTGTTTTCATACATATGCTCTTTTCTTAATAATAACTACATATCAGGATTGCTTAAAAAAAATTGTTCAAATTTGATACCTTTGTCTTTTGCTATCTCATCACATCCCAAATTCGCCACTAAATTAACTGGTTAGTAGCATTGGTAGAAAATACTCAGTGAGAAAAATAAGTTCAAATGTTTTATTTCTACACACATAGTTGATTTTATATTGAAGGTATTGTATCAACATGAAGAGCTGACCATTTTTACTTCTAGTGTGTCTACCATTTTACTTATACATTTCTTTAAATAGTAAAAAGTTACCTGATCATTTAATTCTTACTACCATATTCACAACAAATTCAAATACCACTATTTACATTTATTTGTTTATTTCAGTAAAAACAACATTTAAGAGTACCCTACCTCAATTTCAAAGGCCTAACAACTTTACATACAGCTAGTTTTTGTACTTAGTTTGTAGACTAAACAGTGTAAGTAGATTTTATATGCTTCCTCATAAGCCTAGCTTGTACACAGGCTTCAGCCCCTGTTTGTTAGAAAATATTTATTTTTATTACATATCATTATTTTTGAACAAATATTCTTAAGCGTTGTGTAGTGTAAGCAGTACATATTATGTGAAATGTTAACTGTTATGCATCAGACTAGAACAATCAATATTTTTGGCTGTAAGGGCAAATATGTTATAGAATATGTGATAGAACGATGTTAATTGTTGTAAATGTATTCTAAGCTTCGGCCTGTTTTCATACGTGCTCTTTTCTTAATAATGATTACCGTCAGTAATCGATGGTATGGTATTTGAGACTATATGCACTTATATTGTGCTTGTAGTAGTTAAGGATACATTGCATTTAACGCTTACATACTTTCATATCTAGGTACTTTCATTGAGGGTACCCATTGTATTCTTAACCCTGAGGAAAGCACAATTCAACTTTATAAATTCAACCTCTAACAATCATCATCAAACATTTCCCTTTCAATCTGTTCAACCATTACACGCCAGGTGTAATACCATACTATTGTTATAAACAATTGATTTCACTTACAATAGCCAAAAGACAATAGATTAATTTGATTCCTCATAGATGTTCCTATTATAGTAGTTACATTTTGTTTGCCATTCTTTTACATTTTACAATACCGATAATTGTATTCAAACTGAGAACTTTCTTACATAGGATGCTTTATGA